GAGGGAAAGGAGGGCGCGGCGATGGTGGAGAGAGAGAGGAGAGGGTGAGAGAGTAGGGAGAGAAAATGAATTAGGGTTTGAAATCCTATATAATTTATTTTTTATAATATTTTTTATAATATTTAATTAAATATAAAAAACTTGTATCTCTTTTAAAAAGTTCTGACTTTTGAAAAAAAAAAGATAAAATTTGGTTTTAGAAATTGGATCTCCAAAGGTAGGGATATGTGTAATTTCCACTAATTTCAATCTCCCATGAAACATTTTGGCTTATCAAACAGGGCCTAAGTTATATATTCTAAACTTTCTACACGAGTATATAACTCATTATCATAAACAATCGATGACCATTAGTCGCTTGCTCAAGAGGGCCCAAGTTATATATTCTAAACTTTCTACACGAGTATATAACTCATTATCATAAACAATCGATGACCATTAGTAGCTTGCTCAAGTATGTGACGAATAATTAACTCAAAATAAATAAAATGCTATATAATGGACAAACAAAACATGTCATAAATTACAGCTGTCCTAAAATAATAATGAAATAAACTTAGGACAAATTAACCAACGGAACACGACGTCGTACAGCATGGAACGGTACCACCCACATCTCTGACGTGACGAAACATCTTCTGATTCAATAAAAAAAAGGGTGTCGAGAAACATATCCATTTCCTTGGAAGAGTAGCTTTGTAGTTATTACACTCCACCACCAATAAATAAGCAAAAATACCAATATTACTGTTCAAACCTATACATACACAGACACGTATCTATAGAGCTTCAAGACTACTACTTCTTCTCACTGAATTCTCTAATCTTGTTTGCATTCAACAATAAGCTTTGTTTAATCTGTCTACGTCAAGTCACAGTTTTGTTCTTAATCTTGCAATGGCTTCTATAACACCCATCTCACAGTCCCAGCCCTTATTCAAGAAACCTCAATTCACAATCTTGAATAAGCCTAAGGCTCAGTTTTTGTCAATACCCTCTATGAGTTTTTCTCAGAGGAAGACAAGGATGGAGGTGGTTTCAGCCACAACAGCTGCTGAGAAGTCCAAGAAGAGGTACCCTGGAGAGGCTAAGGGGTTTGTGGAGGAGATGAGATTTGTGGCTATGAAATTGCACACAAGGGACCAGGCTAAGGAAGGAGAAAAGGAGCCTGAGGGTAAGCCTCTGGGCAAATGGGAGCCTAGTGTTGAAGGGTACTTGAAATTCTTGGTGGACAGTACATTGGTTTATGATACCCTGGAGATAATTATGGACAAAGCTGCTTTTCCTGAATGTGAGTATGTTTCATTTACTTTTGGAATATATTTTATGATCTTGCTGCTGTACTTGATATTTAAGTTTTTGGCATTGAATATGTTACTGTTCTTTATAGTGTTTGAGGTAAATTTGTGATTGAATTATGTTAGTTATGGTTACCAGATAGCTTGAAAGACTTCCTTTTTTAATATGATTCGGGTGAACAATTGTGTTATGGACATTATTGTGCTATTCTGAGATAACACAGATCCCCTGTTAATTCGGAAATTCTGTTCTCTGTGTCTACAGAGATTATGATAGTACAATCTTGATTATTTGCTGTTACATCGCAACCAACCCATTAAAAATCCTAACATTTTGCTCAATGTTAGAGATGGTATTAAGCAATCACTAACTCATCAATATCCCACAACTATAGTCTATAGGATTGCAACTCCATCACAATGAATCTCTCCATGAAGTTAAGAATGATAATCTGTAATTGCCATAGAGTTGTTGTTTTCCTTTATAACACCCAGTCATTTACATCTATATTTTATAACTACTCTCATAGAGGGAATTGATCTGAGCTTTTCCACATTGTTTTTTCTTGTTTGGTACTCGTACACTACAAAGACTTGCAATAAAATTGCGTCGACTTTTTCTTTATTCCTTGTCATTATCTTGTATTGAAACAAGCTAATGTCCTATCTTCATCACTCTCACTGTCACCTATATATGTAAATTCTATCGTGTGTTAGCCTTGATGAAAAAATGAACTCTAACTTCCACATGGATTAGCTTATTGTGTGTGCGCACATATATAAAGTTCTATCATCTAAAAACAGATTAATCCTCCAGATGAGGTGGTTAAACATGGCCTGTGCTTGAGGCAATGTCGGTGCCACTTATCTTTGTGCCAATCCTTTCTTCTACTTTGTGCAAACGTTCGTTGGTTGTCTCACACATCAATACTCACGATCAACTTGATAATGCACTTGTGAATCCTCTATCACGTACTAGATTTTAGCTATTTTGTTCCAAGATTGTAGTCTCTGATCTGACGCATCTTGCTGGAGCATTGTAGACAATCTTAATTATTAGTTGAAAATAATCACCTACAATTATGCGATTGTGTCACCCTTGTCCTAATTGTCTCCACAAAATTAGAGATAATATTCTGCTGTCACGAACTCATGAATATCCCAAAATTAGAGGATAGAATCCCAATCACCATCAATCTCTTCACTCCATGCAGTACATAATCTTTAACTACCGTAGTCCATACTGTCTCTTCCCTTATACCACCTTCTCTCTTGCATGAATATCTAGTTCTCCTATTTAGTATTGAGTGTAAGCTTTTGCATAATATTTTGTAGCTTAGCTCTCTTGTCCTGCAAATACTTGTAATATAATTGCTGAAATATTTTTCATTATTTCTTGCCATCATTTTATATTGCATAGATGATCTTGAATTGTAAGTTTTGATTCCTTGATTGTAAAAGCAAATAGAATCTGCAGTTTTTCCCCCTTTTTTTCCTCCCAACTCCTTTGGATTTATTAGAAAAGCATTCATTCCATCAACTTATGACTTGTGTATGATTCGTGTCATACTTGTCAGGCTCCAATGAGGAGTCACTGAACTTCTTGCCAATATGATTATTAGCTTTGCAAACACCTGATTATTGGGGATTGCAGTTGTGAGATTTATCTTTGTGTGCTGCAAAATGTATGCCTCGTCCAATTGTGCTTTATTAACCCCCTTTGTAGTACTTATCTGCATCCTCGTATCCAAATATTTAGCTTACTGGATGTGTGAACAATAGTTCTTTGCTTTGGCAATATTAATTACCGTTTATTTGCTTCTACAATTTCCCAGAAGTCAGCTCCCATTTTTCATTTGGGTAAGATATCCATATAAGAAATTATTTGCTATTGATTAACAGTTTAAAGTCACAATAGCAAGGCCATTAGATTTAGCACTTGGAAGTAAAACATTCTGAACTAATTATCATGAAAAGCTTATCGTCGAAAAGCTAGATCTTTTCTCTCAGATACTGCAGAATAGTCCTTGGAGTGTGACATTGCTTCGTCTTTCACTCAAATATTCACTCTTTTGCTCAGGGGTTGAATTCTTAAATAAGTTTCTAACAGTACTAAAGAAGTAAATGCATATTCTTCAGATTTTGCAGATTTTGTTTGCTACATGTAGGTTAGTATCTGGGGGATTGATAAAGTTCTGATTATTTTCATTGTTTTGTGCTCAGATGCAGAATTTAGGAACACAGGATTAGAGAGGTCAGAAAGTCTTGCAAAAGATTTGGAATGGTTTAAGACGCAAGGTTATGCCATCCCAGAACCATCTTCTCCCGGTGTTAGCTATGCTCAGTATCTGGAAGAACTATCCGAAAAGGATCCTCAAGCATTCATTTGCCACTTTTATAACATATACTTTGCCCATACAGCTGGTGGGAGAATGATCGGGAAGAAGGTAAACAGTTTTAGTTTAAGAAAGAAAAGGCATTTGAGCTTCAGTTTGAAAGCGGAGTTTTGTGAACTATATACTATGTGTAAAGCTGTAGTTTAGAAAGCATGCTGTGCAAACCATAAGTGTAATGTGCAAAACCTAACACCCAATTGAGCATGGTTTTGTTTACAACTTAACGTTACTTGAAGGAAGAATCCTATTTAGGGGAAATTTTATGCTCAAATATGCCGTCTTTTCCATCAGGTATCAGAAAAGATCCTTAACAACAAGGAGTTGGAATTCTATAAATGGGATGGAAACTTATCTGAACTGTTGCAGAATGTTCGGGAGAAGCTGAACCGGGTTGCTGAAGTAACTTCTTTTCTGAACTTTTTGCGTAATCTTTTTAACTCGGCCTCTTATCTAATACTTGGATGTGGGAATTTTGTTCAGAACTGGACAAGGGAGGAGAAGAATCATTGCCTGGAAGAAACTGAGAAATCGTTCAAGTTTTCTGGGGATATCCTTCGTTTGATATTGTCATGATGCACAAAGTTTCAGCTTCCTCGCGCAATCGAGGTCATTAAGTGTAACCACTGTTAATAGTCCACACATTTCCATTTCTGTTATTTCAAGGTTCATGTTTTCTAGACAAATTGTACTCTAAAATATACATTGTGTTGCCTCAATATTCTGAGGAAAGACTCCCATACACATGCAATATTGTGCAATTGAAGCTATTAGTTCCCCCTTCTCGATACATTTTGATAGATTTTTTATTATATGATACCCAAGTTAATATTGTTAGATTTTATTTAAACTAATATAATAATGTTATTCATTTGGAGTTCAGATGATTGTCGATTTGTGTAACAGTGAGGTCATTGTCATATTGCACAATAAAGTTGGAATGTATATTTGAACATTGACTTCATTGTCATATAGACTAATGATCATCTAGAATCTAGATGAATAACATTACTCATAATAACAGTCTTTGCAAGAGAATTGAAGTTCGTACGCAAGATTCCATTCATTCTTTATCTTGACTGTTAGGCACAACATGTTTCCTAGTGGGATGTGAGTATTAAGAAATAAAATTTCACATCGAATAAAGATAAAAACATAGACTAGCTTATAAAAACTTGTGCTACTCCTTTTAATAATATTGACATTTTAAGATTGAACTTCAAGTCTTAATATGTTACAAGATAAAATTCAACATTGAATAGAGATGAAAACATAGAACAACTTTTAAAGGTTTGTGTTACTTCTTTTAATAAAATTGATATTTTAAAATGAAATCTCTAAATCTTAACATAGTATCAAAACCCATTAAAAATTTCATATCAAATAAAGATGAAAACATAAACAAACTTATAAGGATTTGTGTTACTCCTCTTGATAAGTTTGACATAAGTCTTAATAGTGAGCTCGATTCATTGACCGTTTGCTGCAGAGGAAATCCCTTTGTTTCAAGAGAACTTGAGCTTCGACAATCGACACCATTAATGATATTTATTGTCGAGCAAATATACAATTTCTCAAAATTTATAGGTAGGTTTCTGAATTATGAACGTTGCTGTTTGTGGTGATGATATAATTCATAATATAGAGCTTATATTTCTTTTTATCATTGATTATTTAAGTTTGATGATATTTTCTATAAGATCATAATGTCATTTATTTCATAAATAGATAATGAAATGTTTATCTCCATTATAGAATTGGCGAGTTCTAAGTTGAGATTTTGCATTAAACACTACCAAGACATTTAACTATGCACGAGGATCGTTAAATCAAATAAAAATGCTGTACCAACAAATACAATTTATCTCAATCATGACACGCTCGTTGTCACCTATGTTGAAGAAAGGTTTGGAACCCTGTAGAGAATGAAGAGGGGCCAAGGCTCTTCCTCTCAACAGTGCTTTTCGAGGCTCCAATCTCCTCCCTGAATAAGTAAGGCCANAGTGGATGAAAGTTAAAATCACTTTATAAAGGATTACACTTTCGAATGGTGTAATCATGTGTAGTATAGAGGCTCTCTCCACGTGCTCGCGCAGGGGGGGTGCAAATCTTGGATCGAAATTGGCGTCGGATCTTGAACTTGTGTGCGAGCGCGACCTGGGTACACGAATGTCGAACCGAAAGGAGCAAAATTGGCCCCCTTAGGAATGTCTACATTTTTTAATTTTTTCAATAGACTTTTGATTTTCCAAAACTGTTGAAACCCCAAAACTCCTGTTGTAATTGCTATGAATTGAATGAGCAGGTTACAAGCCAGTCTATATTATTGTGCATCGATTTTCCACGTTCAGTACACGAAAAATCATCTGCATATTCATTTGGACACAATTTGAATCTGCCTTCGTTTTTACTTTCTGTTCCTGTCTGATTTGATGATATTGTTTGAACACTAGTTCAGTTCGCCAGAGTACAATCTGTGGTGCTCAGATTATACTGCTTCGCCGTTGTATCCTGGCAAACGGACGCTCTGTTAAACCTCAAGCACAGACGGTGAGGGAGCGAATCTGTTTTAAAGAAACTGAGTGGAACATAGGCCTCAGGTTAAAAGTTTCCTGTCATTTAACTTCTGCGATTATTTGTTTGTCACTCGTTTATGCAAATTTGCGTTTGTAATTCTGCTAAATCAATTGTTCACTTTACTGCAATTTAACATATTGTCGAATCTGCTACTGTATTAAATTTGTTGTGTATATTTAAATCCATTGTATTCAAAATTATTGAATCTGCTACTGTGAATCCGGTATCCAATATTGAAACAATTTTCCTACAATTAATTCCATGAATCACTTAAATCACGACACATTGGAATCACATGGCATCTAAAATGTCGTGACTTGCGTATTTTAGGGTTAGAGTTGTCTTGATTTGAGTAAGAAATACTATCACGTCTACACATATGACCATTTTACTAAAATATTTCTCCAAGACGTGCCACGAGAGCCAGTTAGACACCACCATTGCGTCCACTCGGGTTCTCCTTCTCCTGCTTGGTAAAACTTTAGACCTAGTTTATCTAAATCTAAGAACCACTACATGTGTAGTTGTGCTTAGTGAATGCTCGAAAAGATTGAAGGGTTGAAAACTAGAAACAAAGTACAACGAAAGCAAAAAGAGGGGGCTTGCCTCTTCCCCATCACAGTTAGATTCCATTGGAGTACCACACGCAGACACCTAATCTTAGCTCTTGGATATCACGCGGGTGCATTGTTAACAAGCGCCTTAAATCACGTGCGCGGCCTTCACATAGCTCCAATGTTTCAAGTTGGGGCCTATGTTATGCCATGTTATGTCGAGTGTAACAATGGTGTATGTCTTTTCGGTTTGCCTTGAGAATGAGGATAATAAAGGCTATTAACCGTGTTAGCATGTTCTACTCGAGCTATAATTCTAATGACCACCATATGCCTGCAAGCAAAGCATATTACTCGATGTTCCTACACTCAGAAGAAAAGCAATATTCGGGGAGGACGAATGACGGGGTGAAAAGAGGAGATGGTTAATAGACAAAGAGGCAAAAACAAGTTCAAAAGAAAAATCATCTTCCTTCCCAAGCCACTGAAGAAAAACTTTTGCTATGTGACACAAGCAAGGAAATGAAGAACAATATTTAGCTATTGATAACAAACAAGTAAAGAGAACAGAGATTTACAACATTCTACTCCAAAACCACTACCTCCAAGGAGAAGGTCAGCCCTGAATAATAACTTCAGTAAATGGCTAAGGAGCAAGTACACTCTCATTCTAACATTTGATCTAATGAAATTCATTAATGTTAACATGAAAACAAACTAGCAGCTGTAGTACTTCCCTCAGAGAATTGGAAAAACATGTATGATCATGTTTGAACCTAACATAACTGCATATACCAAGTGCATTACAAACAAATAATGAATGATTTTGACTAGCAGATTTATGCCATCATGTTACTTCAACAATTGTAGCAAGTAGGAGGGAAATTGATATTACGCACATTGATCTCTCTTTCTACATTTCTTTATAATTTTCTCAGCAACACAAAAGAAGTATTTAAACTTTTGCAAAGTAATACATCCTGCTACATCCATGCCTGTTTAAGCCCGAGATAGATAAATTCATAGAGGAACTAAATGGAACGTACAGTGAAGATCCAATATTGTGTGTTAATCATCATGTGTGCTCATAAAACCGCCAATGAAGCCTGCGCCATTACAATTACCACACAGAATCTCCTTTTTACCCCTGCACAAGAATTGGCATGAACATAAAATTGGTGATTGATAAGAGAGATGGTTGTTACTTTCTGCAACAGGTGGAAGCCATACAGTGATACATGAATCCAGGGAGTTGACTTTATTTTCTCGTCTCGAGGAAAGGGCGTTGGGGGGGGGGAGGATTTAGAATGAAATGAAGGTGAGAATGTTTAATTTCTAACGGAAACATTAAGAGGTGCAACAGCCTGACAACACAACAGTTTGGGATCAGGTTAACTCGGCAAATTTGCCTACGGTATTTCCTTGGCTGGTTTCAAACCCTGATAAAGGAATAGGGATGAAGTAGATTGACTAGAACAACAAAATAAGCCATGTTCCCAATAAACTTGGAGAATGCTACTTGAATAGTTTTTGAGTACTCCTTTCAGTTCATTGCTAACCTATGGTCTTGCGAAATTCATAGATGTTACCTTGAAAAAAATAACTAGCATTCATAGAACTTCCTGAGAGAAGCATTACTTTTAGATATGATCTAGTTTTAACCTTTCTTAATAGCATATGGAAAGTGCATTACGAATATCTGATGAACTATTTTGACTAGCCAACCCATGCTATAAAGTTGCTTCAAGAATTGTAGCTAGGACAAGGAAAATATGATATTGAGTCCGTTAGGTCCTGTTTGACACCCATTAATTTAATTTATGGTTTGCTACAGAATCATATTCAACTACACATTCACACAATAAAATATTCTACATGTATACCAAAAATTTTTCCATACTTTTTAACCACACATTCTCCTAAAAATTACTATTCGAAACTCTTTTTTCTACCTAATGGTTGTCAAACAGGCTCTTAATCTCTTTAAATATTTTCCCAGAAACACTGAAAAAGTATATAAAGAAATTTTTTACTGTAATACACCCTGGTACGCTATCCTAATAACACCAAGATGATATATTCAGGGGGGAACCAATGGCACCTTATACTGAAAATCCAACATATAATATTCGTCCTGTGTGCTCAGGAAACGACCAACAAATCCTGCACCATTACAATTACCGCACAGAATCTTCTTTTTCCCATTGCACAAGAGTTGACGTGACTATAAAACGGGTGATTGATAAGAGAGATGGTTGGTAGAATCTGTAATAGGAGGAAGCCATATTGTCATCTATGAACCTGGACATAAGAATTTTTTCCTTTTCTAGGGGGAAGAGGGGGAACGGGGATTTGACTTTACAGTTAAGAATAAAGTTTACTAGGAAGCTTTGTCTACGTTTTTCTGTACCCAGTTCCAAGCCTTAAAGGAAGAGGTGCACTAGATTGACAACAACTAAGACTTGTTCCCAATAAATATATGGTCAACTATATGAATCCCTTTATACATTTTGTTGGCGCATCCCTTACAAGAGACATGTTGCATCTGATATTATGTGCATGAAAAGAGGGTAAGAGCAGGCCGTTGATACATACCCCATGAGCAACATACATTGACACTAGAAGAAATTGAAAGCAAGGCTCAGGCTCCAGCGGACATGGTTGGATTAACAAGTCCAAAATAATAGAATTATAATAGGAATTTGGATTAAAAGACCTATAAGAAAAATTCTTAGAACTAGTAGAGGCTATGCATGTGAAGAAAATTACTGCAACTTGCAAAAAAGAAGTGAAGTGGGAAGGAGAGATGGTGAAAGAATTGGGAAAACAGGATATAAAATGTGGTGCATGGGCAAGGGAAAGAAAAGAAATAGTCAACTAGTGGTTTTAGTACTTATGCTTCAAAAATACTATTAAATAAAGAAATAAAGCAACAGTTTTGTTATGATGTGGATAGGTTGAACAATACAATTCCTAGCAAGATAAAATCTTTGCTGGATAAGATTTGAATGGTTATGTGAAAAAATGTTTCCCCATATGAAAGAAGTACAAATAAATTTTGACTTTTGAGGATTGGAGCGAAGAAAATAATACTATTTGGACTTTGAGAATACTTATAATTTTTTTTAGACATATATACTTCAGAAAGATTCTTTTGTAACTTCTAGGAAATAGGCACATGTAATTAAATAGATCATTCTTACTAAAAAGAGAGATAGATCATAGTGTAAAGATTGTAAAGTAATTACTGATGAGAGCATGCGTGGCATAAATTAGTGATGCTTGATGTGTTTATACAACCAAGTATTATAGAGTTTCAACGTTCAAGGTCATAGAACAAGAGACTGGAACTTGCAGAGCTAAAGACAAATGAAATTCAAGGACAAGAGTTTTTGACAAAGGAAACTAGGATATAGATGGTGCTATGTATGTGGTTTATATAGAGTGGAACACATGTTTACTGGAAGAATAAGCCGATGCCGGAGCGGAGCACACCAAACGGACGGTACATGGGTATTTTCTTGTACTGGCCCAAAAGTATTTTATGGGATAGGGCTAGGGTTAGTATATTAACTGATGATGTAACCCTATTATTCATAATGAATATAATATCTCTACTTCTCTCCTTGTGGACGTAGGCACATTGTCGAACCACGTTAAATCCTTGCGTTGATAATTTGATCTCTCTTGCACTTCTCTATTATTGCGTATAAAAACCAAGAGATGGATATTGCAACATGATGCAGCTAGTAAGATTGCACTTAGAAAAGGAGGTTTTTGGAGAGTAAGAGTTAGGCAACCTAATGAGGAAAATGGTGCTGCAATGAGAAGGTTAATATGGCACTTAAGCTAATACCAAATGCTATAGAAAATTATCTGAATAAATAGGGCGGAGACTTCGAAAAATATAATTTAGCTAAAAGCAAGCTAAGAGGGTGGTTCAGATGTATTTTCAGAAACATACTAGTACAGTTATCTTGTAACTAAGGAGAGAAGAAAGTTGATATTAGCTATCTTATCAGAGAGAGAGAAGGGGCAAATAAATCTGAATCAAGTAAGCAATTAAACATTAAAACCAAGAGCTTATATGGACGATGAAATTATAGAAATGTTAACTCTACTAGAAAAATCTGGGTCCTAGGTTTTAAAGGCGGCGAAGATTAGAAAAGCAATTAATCTAGATAGAATTGGTACAAAGAATGAAAGATTCATTAAGCAACAAAATGCAAGATGAACACAAGAGCAGCGTATATATAAATATTCAAATTTAATCGTATTAGGTAGTATCAAGCTCATAAGTAAGATTTAGAAGAGAGAGCGATTGAGCATATAGTAATGATTGGGAGATTCGTTTCTGGTAATAGAATGTCTTTCTATTTATAGCAACGCTGAAGACGACAATGGAGCCACCAGAGACAATCATTTTGTATCATTGAGGGCTTGTTTTATTTAGGTGCCATTACTAAGGATTTAAAAGATTGTATATAATTACAGAGGGGTCAGGTAAAAGGGAGCTTTTATAGATATTCTATGAAATCGATAGATATAAAACCAAAATCTACAAAATGGCTATTAAATCAGACGTGCTTTATGATACTGACTGTTGGGTCATTAACAGTGGAGGCACTATTTGAGGATAAATTAACGAGCACACAATTAGGTAGATGGAGCATGCCTTGTGTATATATAAAGATGTCTTTTTGACAAAATGACTTGATCTCAATAGAAATTTTAGAACAGAAAGGTTTAAACTAAATTAGCATGACTGGAAGCGATAGCAAAAGATTCCCACAAAAGAAAATCATTTTTCACACTTATTATTAGTCAACAATGCTAGTGAGTGGATTTCTATGTTTATTCTGATAGGAAATTAAGATATTCAAATAAAGAATTTTGGATCGAATGACTATTCATCTATTGTATTTTTATGATTCAACGGGATCTCCAGGTAGGTATAGCTATGAATCCCATGAAGCAATGAAAAATGATTCATCTAGTCAACCCTGAATCTATTAGGAATAAGAGTTAGTTTTTTGTTGTTGTTGTTGTTGTTGTTGCTGCTGCTGTTGTTGGAAGAAGTTAAGTAACCAACTAGGCATAGATTTAGAAATAGCTCAAGTAAGCCTCTTAAAAATCTGAATTTGATTAAAACCAAGATGCTTTACAGCTTATGTGAAGACCGACTAACATTAACTTACTCTGAGGATACATTAGAAAAAGAAAAGAGTGCCGGACCAAATTACACTATCTTGTTAAGGGAAAAGTGAATAGCCTAAGAGGAACATTATCAGTAAGACAAGGGCAATTTTATCACAGATTCCCAGATAACAAATGGATAGATTTTAGTAATTCCATTTTGGCTTATATGAATGCAAGTTATTGCAAAATTCATATACTTGTGCCCTGAACATAAAATTTTCCATCTTGTTATCATTTTTTTCTCCAGAACACCAGAACATCTTCTGAGTTCAATTTTTCCAATGAGCCAGTGTGGATGTCTCAAGGCAGACAAAGTTTATAGATCTGATTTTGAGATTTTATCAACTTAAATTTGGAAAGTCAAAAGCTTAAAGCTTTTATAAATTGACAGCTGGGATGAGAACGGCATTTGTAAAAAATGCAGGTATAAGGTGTAGAAATCTTGTTAATTAGATTGATTGACGTACCATATTTGGGATGATCAATCATCTTGTTAATTAGATTGATTGATGTACCATATTTCGGATGATTAGGTTTGACTGATGTACCATATTTAAACTTTCCTTAGTTTGGTAGACTAATTAGTGCTAATTAGTTCTTTATTAATTAAGGAGATTGTCTACCATATTTACCTCCATTCATTGTATATAAATAGTGGACAGAGGAATAAACAATTCAATTCACACAATCATTCAAGTGTGTTATTCTCTTTATAATATCAGAGCTAGGTTCCAAATCAACCTAGCAATCAATGACAACCAACAATAAGGATTCTACAACTTCTAAATCCTCTTAAAGTGAGACAGAAATTATCTCCTCAATGGGCTCCAATAATGGCAAAAATTCTTCCTTTCAACTCTCTGTCGAAAAATTGAATGGAAGGGATTTTCGAGGTTGGGCACAATCTATCAAATTGATAATCGAAGGCAAAGGAAAATTAGGTTACTTCACTGGTAACACCAAGCAGCCGACCGAAACCACTTTTCTTCAGAAGTGGAAATCTGAGAACACCATGATAACCACATAGCTCGTAAATTCCATGACTCCATCCATAGGTAAAACTTACCTATTTCTGTCGACAACAAAAGAGGTATGGGAAGTAGTGAAAGAAACTTACTCCGATGGAGAGAATGCGTCACAAATTTTTGAAATAAAAACCCGGCTATGGCAAATCAAACAGGGAGAAAGGGAGGTCACAGATTATTACTTGGAGATGACTAATCTCTGGCAAGAACTCAACCTTAGCCTTAACTACCTCCGCAAAATACAAAATTTCATGGATTATTGACTCTTGTGCGTTCGATCACATGACGGACTCCTACCATCTTTTTTCCTCATACTCTCCTTGTGTTGGCAATATTAAAGTTAAGATTGTGGATGGGTCACTCTCACCTGTCGCAGGAAAAGGGGAATCCAAAAATATCTAAATCTATTAACTCTAAAATCCGTGCTTCATGTTCCAAACTTATCTTGTAATTTGTTATCCATTAGCCAGATAACAAAAAACTCCAATTGCTTCGCTGATTTTTTTCCATCTCACTGTGTCTTCTAGGACCTATCATCGAGGAAAACGATTGATAATGTTAAAGAGTATGAGGGACTTTACTATTTTAAGGAGGCAGATATGTGTAAACCAAGTCAAATTGCAATTTGTAATTCTGCATTTGCCTTTAGGGACAGTGAAATATTGTGACATTATAGAATGGTCACCCAAAGTACAATATTTAAAACGTGTACTTCCATCTATTTCTTCAAATAAAACTATTTTTGAATTTCAATGTGAGATTTGTGAAATAGCTAAACGTCATCGTAGTGTATTCCCGAAGTCCATATACAAGCCATCTAAATCACATGCTATGATCCAAAGCGATCTATGGGGACCTTCACGAATCCCTAATCGTACTCACACAAAATAGTTTGTTACATTCATCGATGATCATACTCGTGTTTGTTGGGTTTACATGCTGAAAGAAAAAAGTGATGTTCGTTTAGGTTTCATCAACTTTCACTTGATGATTCTAACACAATTCAAACACAAATTCAAATTCTCCGAACTGATAATGGCACCGAATACTTCAACGTGTCCTTAAAAGAATACCTCCAAAAATATGGGATAGTCCACCAAACCTCTTGTGTCACACTTCCCAACAAAATGGGATTGCCGAACGCAAAAATAGACATTTTTTTGAAGTTGCTCGTGCCTTGATGTTTACTAAAAAATGCCAAAAATATTCTGGGGAGACACTGTTCTAACCTCTACCTACCTTATCAACCGAATGCCTAGTCGCACACTCAACTTTGAATCGCCCTTTCAAAAACTTTAAAAGTTCCTTCTTACCTCACGTTTACACTTGAACCTACCCCTCAAGATATTTGTTGTACTGCATTTGTCCATATTCATTCTCACCATCGAAATAAACTAGATCCTCGTGCAGTTAAATGTGTATTCATTGGATACTCAGCCACTCAAAAAAGCTACAAATGTTATGATCCAGGCACAAAAAAGGATATTTGTAAGTCTCGATGTCACATTCTTTGAAAAGACACCTTTCTCTCAAAAGCCCTCTCTTCAGGGCGAGAATTTGAGTGAAGATAGGTTCATCGATTTTGATCTCTCTCCCTCTAAACATACCTCACACAAATTCAAGTTCCGATTTGCCACAGATTCAAGTTCCTCAAACACAGATTCAAGTTTTGAGTTGCCACATATAGAACAAAACTTGAATTCAAGGGGATATATAGGAAAGCAAAAGGATGAGGAGATACTAATTTATTGAAGGAAGCCAAAATCAAAGAAGAACATCCTCATTCTTGACGCACCAAGAGAGTTGGAACCAATGATAGCTCCAGATTCCCATTAGTCTAAATCTCCAGATACCAATCTACCTATCACACCCAGGAAACAAACTAGGTCATGTACTCTTCATCCCATCTCTAAATTCATATCATATAATGCTCTATCTACAGGGTTTCGTACTTTTACATTTAACCTTGACAATACAGCAATTCAATAAATATTCAAGAAGCATTAAAATTCCCGAAATGGAAAGAAGCAGTAATGGAAGAAATGCAAGCTCTATTGAAAAATGAAACTTGGGATGTGATGGATCTGCCAAAAGAAAAGAGACCCGTGAGTTGTAAATGGGTGTTCAATGTGAAATATATGGCGATGGGACAGTAGAAAGATACAAAGCTCGTCTTGTGGCAAATGGGTATACACAAACCTACTGCATAGACTATATAGAGACATTTGCACCATTGGCAAAGCTCAATACAATGCGAATTCGAGGTAAAGGATCTAAGACAAATGAGATATTTCTTGGGAATGGAAGTAGCAAGGTAAAAAAGAGGTATTAGTATCTCACAACAGAAATACATTCATGATCTTCTATACGAAACAATTATACTTGAATGTAAACCAAGCGACACACCAATTAATACAAGAAAGAAGGGAGAAGATGCTGGAAAGCCAGTTGAGAAAGACATATATCAACGACTAGTACGGAGGTTAATCTATTTGTCTCACACTAAACCAGAAATTGCATTTGCAGTAAGTGTAGTAAGCCAACATATGCATTCACCAAAGGAATTTCATTTGGAAGCAGTATAACGAATTCTCAGGTATTTGAAAAGCTCCTCTGGAAAGGGACTATATTTCAACAAAAATGAAGGTAAGGAAATAGAAGTATTCATTGATGCAGATTGGGCTGGCTCCACAGAAGATAGAAAATCAACTACGGGCTATTGTACCTTTATATGGGGAAATTTGATAACTTGGAGAAGCAAGAAACAAAATGTAGTAGCAAGAAGCAATGCTGAAGCCGAGTTTAAAGCTATTGCACAAGGAATATGTCAAGGATTGTGGTTAAAAAAACTGTTGGAAGAACTACATGTCACTGTAAAACTTCCCATCAAACTATATTGTGACAACAAGGTAGCAATCAATGTTTCTCTAAATTCAGTACAACACGATCGAACCAAGAATATCGAAGGGACATACATTTTATCAAAGAAAAAGTCGAAGACGGAGTTATTTGTATGACATATGTCCATACAAAAGAACAAACTGCAGATATCTTCACCAAAGGGCTACCACAGCAAAGTTTTGATGATTTTATTCACAAATTGGATATAGTCAACATTTACCATCTAACTTGAGGGGGAGTGTAGAAATCTTGTTAATTAGATTGATTGATGTACCATATTTGGGATGATCAATCATCTTGTTAATTAGATTGATTGATGTACCATATTTAAACTTTCCTTAGTTTGGTAGACTAATTAGTGCTAATTAGTTCTTTACTAATTTAGGAGACTGTTTACCATATTTACCTCCATTTTTTGTATATAAATAGTGGACAGAGGAATAAACAATTCAATTCACACAATCATTCAAGTGTGTTATTCTCTTCATGAGGGTTATGCTGGGTACAATGTCAGATGCTTGACATAAAGAAAACTTAATGGGTGAGAATACCTGCAAAGCCAACACAGTGCTCCAGCTTTGAACTGTCCATTGAAGTGATCTACAGAGTTAACTCCAGAACCTTTGCACTGTGAACATGCTATAGCACCTGATAATCGTATTTTAGGAAAAGAAACATTGCAAAGTAAATAATCAGATGATCACGAAAAGAAAAGTCACATGAGCATTAGCATGAGTAAAGGCAAGTAGAGCCAGCAGCATGTATATTAGTTTATTTGTCAATTAACATTAGTCTTCAACCTGCGTTCAGTTTTAATAATTAGTCATCCACCAACCAATGGAAAGATAAAACCATAAATAATTGACAATGTTTGTGTAAAGCTTTGCTCAAGAAAACCAAAAAGACGCATTTCCTTCCAGACTTTATAAGAGATGATAAGATTAGAAATGCAAATTATCATTAGAACAAGAAAAGTATTCCCTGGTAAAGAATAATGGAAACCGTGCATGAGTTGATCAGAAAATCAGTTCTCTGGCCAAGAAAATATCAGGAAGGGAAAAAGAGGAGAATCAATAAAACGAGAGAATAGCAAACTAATCCAGCTATAAAAGTGCAAACGACAAGACTATTACTCAAATGATCTCTGGTTTACTAGGTAGGTTTGCATGGACAAATATTCTATATAAAGAATTATTAAAAGAGCTCCCAATGCAGTTTTAATATACATAGTTGTTGACAATGCAAAATTAATGAAAGTATGGAACTAAAACGCTTTGAATACCTCCCTCCCCACCCACCCATGACCCATCCATCCTTGAGGGAAATATGTGAATGTCATACATTGCCATGAAAATCGATGAATGAATGCCCATGATGTGAAAAATAAAAGGAATGAAGTGACAATCGAGTTAAAGAATTGACCAGTGACTAATATTCTAATTGAAGACAACCATAATGGAAGTTAATATAATTGTTTTAAACCCTTGATATTAAATTAACATGACAAACCCTAAATTAATAAAACTAAAAAATTGATATCTTCAAATAATGTAACAGCAAAAAAACCTTTTATCATACACAGAAAGTGCATTCTTAAAAAAAATTGTCCTGGCAATAGAAGATGTGTAATTCAAATGACAAAGGAAAACTACTGGGGTCGATTAAGAATATAAAAGTAGTCACTAGACAGTGATTCTTCAGCTTACCATTACCCTCACAATCAATACAAACTATGCTACTTGATTTGGTGCTTGGTTTGCTGTCTGTAGCCTGTAGATTAAAGCAAGACAAAATTTCAGATACAAATGCAGTTAAAACAAAAAAGAAGGGAATCATGGAAGGAACGGAAAAGAAGTGAAGAAAACCTTAGCACAATAATGGAGGTCTCCAGATTGGGATATTATTAGCTGCCTTAAGTTTACAAAAGGACCAAAGGCACTTATAGCCAAGATAACAATATATTGTATTTCAATTAAGATATCAAAGATTTACTAAGACTTATTATGTTTCAGTTACATATTCAGTCTATTTTATAATTCTCTGCATTTTGAATTGCTTTTGACTGCAATATCGGGCTGTCAGATGGATCTGACAATTGTTGGTTGCTTTCTGGGTAAGGTTGTCAAGTACAAGGACAATCAAAATCTCAAATCTTGGGCCTAAGACTACTTGGCCAAAGCTATGTCATCCCTCAAATATGCTTTGTTGCATCTTGTTTCAGATTGTAAGAAAGTACTATTTCAGCTCTTCCCTAGACATGTGCTATATTATCTCTTTTGGGTGTGATGCATGTCCTAAATGTGATTGCCTAAGTTCCATTACTCCTTTTCCTCTTGATATTTATTTCATTCCATTATTCCTTTTCCTCCTGATATTTATTCTCCATAGAAACAACCTCTAGAATTCGTTAAGTTCTCATTTCTCATTCTTCTCCCTCAAACACAATAATTTCCCAGTCGCTTTTTAGAGCATATGATCACACTATCGGTAAAACATCCTTAAAAATCATTGACTAAGGCTCACTTTATTGCAAGCAGATGATTTTAGTGCTGAATGTACAAAAATCAGGCATCATAGTCATGAAAACAGATTGACTTGAATTTTCGAGTTCTGAGGTTCGTTTTGATTCAGATTGAGATTAAGAAGAAACCATCATATATTTTACCAAATCCCCATTCAAATTCTTTGTTTCGCCCTCGTAATTTATTCTATTAACGCTTTAAAATGCCATGAAACGATGGCTCATCAAGTGTTTTGATTCACTACCATGTCATCAGAATTTCTTCTCAATTTTTTACCAGAACAGCGAGGATAGGTAGCTTTGAATAAAAATGAATTAGTGTAACCAACTACAATTTTTTGAGAATAAGATTTGGCATGTTGTTTATTGAGGAAAATTTGACAAAAACACTCTCTCCTGCATCTTTCTCAAGCTGATCTCTTCAATCCATGAAACAAGTCATCAGAGATGTTTGAGAAAATGGTTTATTGTTACCTGCAGTTGAGTAGTTATCACTCATTTCGTTGAATTGTGCTTAATTTAAATTGCATATTGCAGAATTCCAATTTCTCTAGTTGAGTAGTTATCACTCATTTCATTGAATTGTGTTTAATTTAAATTGCATATGCAGAATTCCAATTTCTCTCTACATGTTACTTTCTCATTATGTTTTGTTTTTCCAATCCTTCAGTGGATTACATTACGAAGTTCTTTTAAGCCTCGTGAACATTATGTCCCTTGACGCTCTATATGTCAGAACCATCACCTCATCTATGTCTAAAACCTTAAGCCGGTAGATTAATTTATTTAAATTTATTATGCACAAGCTCTATGTCAACAAATTATGACTAAATAGTGAGGTGTTCAAGTGCAAATGTTCACTCACCTTAACCTTTAAAGCTTCAAAATTAGCTTTTCTCGAACTGGCGGTGCAATCATTGATCCATTCAACCTTCCTATTAGCAAAGTTTCCGCTAATAAGCCCTGAAAAAATAATCAAGAATTCCCATTAAAAATGATTTCAAATGAACACAAAGTAAAACCAAGAAGCTCAAGTATCCCCTGCCCCAATCCCATTTCCACAGTTACGAACAAGTACGCACACAAACACTCACCTACAAAGACATACCCGTTACAAAAATAAAGTGAATTCATAGAAATGCATATAAAGCACAAGTACCCACAAAAATATGTAAGAATATGTGTATAAAAATATAAATATGTAGAGAAAGAGTACTGGGTTTGTCGAGGGTCTTGAAGGAGATGGGATGTACGGAACAAAGAGAATTCGCCATTTCTAGTTAAAATTAGAGCTCGAATTTCAGGGAAGTTAGCCTCTTTTGGTACAAAGGAGATAAGGCTCTCTGTCTTCTCTGTCTATTCCTTTGTGACATAAGAGAATCTTAATATTTTGGTAAATTAGGGATTGGCTCCCTCAATTTTTCAACTAATGTAGTATTGGATCCTCAACCTTAAAAAATAGAGTTTTGAGTCCTCAACCAATTTAATTATATGCATTATGGAAAACGTAAATGTAAATATTAAAATTATATATGTGGTATTCATATGACTTAATATTTAATATCAAAATCGTCAAAACACTTAATAAGTCGTATGTTATTAGCGTCTACATTATTTCTTTACGAAATGATTCAAATTCATATAATTAAATCGATTGGAAATCAAAATCTCACTTTTGAAACTTACAAATCCAAAATCTTGCTACCTAAAATGTTGGAGTGTAGCCCTAATATTTTTTTTATATTTTGTTCTTATGAAAATCCCTCTCATTGTGAATTTATTTCATGAAATGATAACACCAGACGAATTTTAAAAAAATAAAAATTCAAATTTTCTCAAAACAACAAATCATAGAATTTTAATTTTGTTGATAGTACAGATCACAAATTTGTTTATTACGATCTCATAAAAAACGAACTCGAAGAACTTGTTTCTACAATTTGTCCCCAAAGAGAAAATCGCAACGCATCCTCAAGTTAAATATGACAGTTTTTCCAAAGATGATTAATTTTGGAAAATTTGCACCGAAGGTCCTAAACCTCTCAAAATAGTGTATATACCACCCCCAGAATTTTAAATCATAGCAGATAGTACCCCCACGCCCACCCCAAACATTTAAATTTGTGCGCTGGGAAGATTCTTGGATGGTTTCCATCCAAGAATTCATTATTTGATCAAAAGTCAAGTGACCATAACTTGACCAATTTTAAAAATAGCAAAATGATCTTTTATGTTTAATTAATTAAAATACGGGTATTTTGCGTCAAAGATCCCAACCTTTAAAAATGTACAGTTTGATCTCACACATTTAATAAATGTGTACCGAAAGGACCTTATATGGTATCTATCCAAAAATCTGTCAGTTGACCAAAAATCAAATTTCTGACCTTAATTTGACCAAATTTAAAAAAGCAAAATTGTCTTTTAACATTTAATTAAAAAAGGCAAAATGGTCATATATTAATGAAGAAGTGGAACATTGAAATTTGTAACTTAATAAATTCAACAATTAGTAGAGATGGAGAGTCGAACATATTCTCTATTTTAAAACGTTATAATATAGAATCCATTGAAATTTGATTTCAAGTATCAACTCTAAATAATAAAGAGCATCTTAGAGCTACAAGGCACTACATATTTTTAAAGAGCATATTTTATAATTTAGAGAATATCTATAAATTTAGGAAGTAAAAACTTTCAAGCACTTCAGTAGACTCTTTATTTTTAACATTTAATTTTACTACTTCCAAAAATTTTTATTATTTTTTCCTACATTTTATTTTCACAAGCTTCCTTCCAAATTATTATATTATTTTCATCCAAATTTAAAAAGTCAAACCCACTCTCTATAATTAAATGCATTTAAAGTATTTAATTTTTTAATGGAGAAAAATACCCTCTCCATCCCATTTATATATGTTGTTTTTGTTTTTCTCACGGATTAAGGAATCTTATTTAATATTACTAAAAAATGAATTTTTGACAAAAAATTTCTTAGTTAACCCTTATTTATATTTGTACAATTTCAAGATTAAGTGGAAAAATTGGTTACAACTAGGCGAATTAAATAAGTATATATTAGTAAACGAACAAAACAAAATATTTTCAATAAAGAAACATGGCTATATATTTGGGACAAGAAAATAAGAAAAGACACTTTATATAAATGGGACGGAGAAGGTAATATAATAATTTGAAGAACCAACTTCACTTTCTATTTTAAAATGTTAATTTGAAAAGTCTCCTTGGACATAATTGTAAAGAGTGATTATTTAAAATCGAGAGTATTTTATTTTTATGGAACCTCTTTTAGATGCTCTTACATTAAAAGATGAAAAATGCTCTTTTAGCATTCACAATTGTGTTTTAACTCTATTTATAATTTAAACCGATTTATAATTTTTTTTTTATAAACAGTCTTCATCAATTATTATTTTTTATTTATTTATAGTTTAAATCGATTATAAACAACTCTCAAATATGCTTCGACTCCCTTGGAAGTTATTTTCACCTTCTTACCTTGTTTCTATATTTTCTAACTTGATGGTTATAATTGTGATAGATTTTTATTTTAAATTACTTGTGTGCTTGGGACATTTTTGTTGGAATTTTGTATTGAAAATTGGTTGTGACTAATTGAAATGATTCAAGTGGAAATTCCTTGTTTGGTGAATAAGAAATTAAGCCAAATTTAAACCACTTAATACTTGAAATTATTGGAATTGTGTAGAATATTGTGGAATATTCTAGAGAATGTAGATGAAAAGATGTGTCTTTTCATATGGATCATGGCTCTTGGAGAGCATGACTTTTGGTATGAGTAACTTCCAATAATTATGATTATTCAAGATATGTGTCTCTTGGTATGGATGTTCCAACTACTATATATATGGATTCCCTATGTGTTTGGATAAACTACACAACAAACAATTCATTTGATAGTTTCATATCATTCCATTCCATGGTTACTTTATTTTTGCATAAAACACTTTGTAGAAGTGATTTTTTCTTGCATCAAAATCATGGTTATGGTAGAGAGGGAACTCCGTTCGAGTTCGTTGGTCTAAGTCATTTGGAGTGCTCCTATGGCTTGACGTGGTCGTTGTATCTTGGGAGATGATTGCCGAGAAACCGTTAGCACCGATGCGGGGCAAATTCATCTTAAGGACAAAGTGTCAAACACTTGCCTCGACCGATCGCATCACTTGCATCTCATCTTTCTTTTCCGATTTCATTCTAATTTAGTATTTTGATTTCGGAAAGTAACTAATATTCTTTTGATTTCATGCAAGGTTTGAATTAAAGAATGACACGCGTTCAAGATTGGAAAGTGATGAATCCATATTCATATATTGGAAGTCGGTAATCACTATTTTGTCTTCTCAAATCAGATTTCGGTAAATCGAATGATATTTCGATTTCACGGTATGTTCTTGATGAATATAATATGCACATTATCGGTGTAATATCTCCTACAATCTTAAGATGAATTTTTTGATGTGCATGTTATATGGAAATCATGATATTGTATGGAAATTCCGAAGACATGTAAATTGAAACGGTGCATGTAAATTGAAACGGTGCTGATATTTAAATCTATATTCTCATAGAATTATCTGATTAATTTCTGAATTCTATGTATATTAAATGGTACTGGCACCTCTGTTCGGCAAATTGGAAAGAATGGCAGATTGATTTTTGGCAATTTATTCGTATTTTCAAATAAAAGTGCTGGCTGTTCATTTTATGAAAATGTGTGAAACCATGTCATATATGTTCTTAACATATGCTGATTATTGCTTACTATATAATTTCCAAAGGAAATCTCTTATGAGAGATTCTACTAAATGTTTCATTTTTAATGCAATATAAAATCTGATTTTGTTATTGCATGTTCCAAGTAAATTGTAAACATTGGCAGTTTGTAAATAAATGTAAGTATACATTTTTTCAATTGCATGGTTTGGAAATGGAAATTACTTGGCAGGAAAATAGTTTCCGTTCATGAATATTTAATATATATTGCTCCCACTTGCTCACTTGAGGATGCATGTTTTCATGTTGGAAATTGTACTAACTTTGGTTGATGGTGATAGTCTCTTGATATTCGATGAGTATGGAAAGTTGTCTAATTTATGATTTCGATGACCATTCATTTCATAACTACCATGGAAACATTATTGTTGATGTTTATTACATAAAATAATGAATATACGTTTTGGTCTTTTGTACCATATCAATGGTTGATCATTTGGTCTTGCTTAATTTAATTGATCGAGATTGAGATCAATGACTATATTTCTAAATGTGTGTGGAGTTCCTCAAGATATTGATATTCCTAGTCACGACATGTGTTGACTAAAATGGAATAAACTTATACAATGATTGTATAAATGTTGGAAGAATGCCAACTAGTTATTGAAAGTATATGAACTTTCATGATTATTCCTTTTATTGGAATATGGAAAGCCTCAATAATTTGATGAAATTAATTGAGATGACTTATGCAAATTATGGTTGTATTCTAGCATGACTATATATGATCTTGTCACAATGGGTATTAAGTCACCTAATCACATGGTGGAAAATTTATGAAATAATCTAGGATCATTTCATATGAAAAATCATGACCCTTGGTATGATTCATTTCCAATTTGTGTATCTCTTCATAGAGATTTATTCGAAGAGGCGTGTTATCTCGTTGGGTTGTGTCTTTTGAGAACACAACTATCGAATCGATGGATGATTCGTTCATTAAATTTGAACATGGTGAATAAGTATTATTTAACATGAAATAATACTATCTTGTGAAATGTCACAAATGTGATATGTTGGAGAAGTTGCAATTCTTGTGAATCAAGATGCTTAGTCTTCTTCATTGTTGAAATTCGATTTCAATCGTGGAACCAATTAAATTGGTATATGCTTTGAGAGCATTGTTGGTCTATGTGATGACCTTAATTTGATTTGGATGATCAAATTGAAGATAGTTGGATTGAAGTACATTGAATACAATTTCAATGGAAATAAATTGTGGATTGACGACCACTATTTTGAAAGTACTTAAACTTTCACGAAACATTCGATATGAACATTATCTATTCGATAATGAGTTGAACTACGAAAGAGTTGATGAACTCTAAGTTCAAGTGTAACCCAAAAATGTGGGGGTTAACATCAATGCTTGCGAACTTATATGAAAAGTTCAAGATTTGTGAATGCAACATTACTAGTTGCACATGCATTCCTAATTGAGGAATTGTGGGGGTAATTTATGTTTAAAAGTTACAAATTTTTCTATACCTTATAATCATAGAAATATATCTATGAAGTGGAAAAGGTAGAAAACCCTTATATTAATTATAAGGATGATATACACTAAGTCTAAAGTGGATGAAATGGGATAAAAATCCTATTACGGCGTTTGTTTGGATATGCAAGATCAATTGGAATATTTGAAAAATATTCATAAAATTGAAATGCATTGTAATATTTCAATAATGATATTGAATACCCCATGTTTCTGAAATCCACTAGTGAAAAGTGATTGACTAGTGTAGTGCGTGAAAGAAATCCTCCAACATTGTTGTTTGGAATTTATAAAGCTTTAGATAAAGCTAGTTAGAAGCATGTAGCTTCATGAGAGGATTTCTTGGTGGTGACATGTTGTATCTATTAAATCAATTAATTGTTGGCTAGCTATATTTGATGAGATACTAAGTCACATGTAATGGTAAGTCTAGACGTAGACATAATACCATTAAGCAGTCGATCTCAATGGTGTAAACTCGTGGTACCTTTAGAGATTTACCGAGAGATCAAGAATACTGCATATCGAGGGGAATGAGATTAAAGCCTACGATGTAAGAGTCTTTGTAATGGTAACCCTACCTTGTTGACTGGAGATCCCAAGATCTTGGTTCAAAGGGACAACTAAGTTATGAAGATTACATGAAGCACTTAGGAAATTATTCCTACTCATTCCTATGATAATTAAAGTGCTTTCTGCTAAATGATTGAAGGTTAAGATATTCTTTTAATGATTCCTATATCTTGATTAAGTCAAGTAGAGTAAGAGAGAATACTCTTAATAGGAGATCACCTATATAAGTGTGAAGTGGGGCCGCTTCAATGAGAATTGTTCGAGGCTAAAATTCTCTAAACACTTATGAAACCAAGAGTGGTCCAGGGCCAAAATGGACACAACCGTGAGAACCATGAACGGTTTAGGAAAGACATTGTGTGAGTACTGTTGTCTTGGCTTACACCAATGGCTGAATGGTTCAAGACATCACGTTCACCAATTAGCCAGTAAGTCCGATAGTATTTCACTAAGGGAGGTTCAAAGCCAAAAGCTACCTTCTCTGATGCAGTGTTTTTTCCGTTCTCTCTCTACTAGTGTCTGCATAGTCATTTGCATTAATTTTCATTCATGTGGGGGATTGTTGGAATTTTGTGTTGGAAATTGGTTGTGACCAATTGAAATGATTTAAGTGGAAATTCCTTGTTTGGTGAATGAGAAATTAAGCCAAACTTAAACCACTTAATACTTGAAATTATTGGAATTGTGTAGAATATTGTGGAATATTCTAGAGAATGTAGATGAAAAGATGTGTCTTTTCATATGGATCATGACTCTTGGAGAGCATGACTTTTGGTATGAGTAACTTCCAATAATTATGATTATTCAAGATATGTGTCTCTTGGTATGGATGTTCCAACTACTATATATATGGATTCCCTATGTGTTTGGATAAACTACACAACAAACAATTCATTTGATAGTTTCATATCATTCCATTCCATGGTTACTTTATTTTTGCATAAAACACTTTGTAGAAGTGATTTTTTCTTGCATCAAAATCATGGTTATGGTAGAGAGGGAACTCCGTTCGAGTTCGTTGGTCTAAGTCATTTGGAGTGCTCCTATGGCTTGACGTGGTCATTGTATCTTGGGAGATGATTGCCAAGAAATCGTTAGCACCGATGCGGGGCAAATTCATCTAAAGGACAAAGTGTCAAACACTTGCCTCGACCAATTGCATGACTTACATTTCATCTTTCTCATTTCTGATTTTATTTATGCTTGATTTCAGAATATGGTTAATTTATTTATGTGTTTTATTGAAGGGTTTGAATTGAAGAATAACATGCGTTCACTCATATTGGGAAGTGAAGAATTCATATTATTATATTCGAAGTCGGTAAATCGCTATTTTATCTTCTCAAATCAGATTTCGGTAAGTTGAATGATGTTTCGATTTCACGCATATTAACGACATACTCTTGATGAATATAATATGCACATTATCGGTGTAATATCTCCTACAATTTTTACTAGTTAACGAGCGTTTAACCATTGTCTGATACGAATTCAATCATGCTTTGTCTACAATCATGGGTTACAACTTTTGACAAGCAGAGAAAGTGGTAACCACCATCTAGTGACGAGATACTTTCCATTGTCATAATCTTCTTGACAATATCAGTTTAAAAAGATCGACGAAATATAAAACGAAAATCTCCATATAACAACAACAAAGTAACTCCAAATGTTAACATAATGCAATTGTTATAAAAGATAAAAAGTCATATGTATAGACAGCAAGCTTATAAGAGAATCAGTAACTAAAAAAGTCGTATAAAGAGCCAGAATAACTAAATTTTAATGTTAAACACCAAGAATGGATAAAAGATCATACCTATGGTCTGTAGGATCAGAAAGAAATACGAAAGGCAATTACTGTGCCCTGTGTAGCTAGCCTCAACAAAATTCAAAAAACCCAACTGTACAATCCTCAACCTGAACTAAAAACTTACATCAACAGCCAGCATCACGAGGTCCTCCAGCAATTGAAACCACATGGTTCGGGGAAAATCTCAACTGATTATGACCATTCCACAGCATACTGAGAACTGCGATATTTTCATTCTTTTTTGATACAGTGTGCATCGGTAGCATGTTGAGTACATTGATGATAGCCCACACTGTGAAGAAATTCCCGGATCTCTTTGGCACTGCTGTTGCTCGCTTGCAACAAACGTTCGTCTTCTTCATATATTAAGTAAGGGGCTTCACCTATCTTTCTTGACAGCAACTTTGTAGCTCCCTTAAGCACGTGATATTCCCAGCCTTGAACGTCTATTTTAAGCAAGAGAACAGGCTCTGACTCTTTTATCACTTCATCGAGGGGAATAGATCTGACTTGAAGTGCAATCTCTTCGTTTGATTTAAAAGCCATTTTTGCACCAACAGATGAAACAGCGCTATTGTCGAGCCGACCAACCAACTAGTAATGACATCCAAACAAATTCAAGTTATATCCAGACAACTTGCTTTAGCAAAAGATATTGTGGTAAATATCTTTAGTGTGGCAAAGCTTTTCACGTATCATCATCACAAACGAAAAACATTGATTCCTTGGAAAGTAAATGGACGCATTGGAAGGTATTAAGAGAGAAAATGAGTCTAAAATATTAATTCTTATATAGGCGAGTCATATCTGTACTTCCTACCAAATATGCAATAAAAGAACTAGGTCATACTGTCAAACTTATGTGTGTCAGTCATGGAGAAAGATGACATACAATTAAATTTACAAGATACAACTAGAGCATAATATATCAAGAAAAGGATGAAAGAGAGAGAGGAAAAGAAAAGAGGAATCTAAATTGTGGAATGTTAAACATGGTGCTCGTCAGGTAAACAGGCGAGTAATACTGCGACATTTTCAAAATTAATGAATTACACAAATAATAGTGCAAATCATTAATAAATAAGGCTAGCGCCGCTAGCCAGCAAAATCAAATTTCCCAAGATGAAAAACACCTTCATAATCAACTTAGGAGGCAATTGAATATAATTACATCGATAAGCTGAAAGGAAGATGAAGAAAGAATGATTAATAATTGATGTAGGAAGATGCAACCACTTTCCCCAAAATGTATATCTGATAGGAAAAGAGCTGTTAAACCCTTTATCACTCCCGATTAAACCCTTATGAAATAGGCCTATCCCCATGTTCACTGATGCTCTGCAGCAATAATCTCTTCTATATTTATTATTTATTCTCAAGGAAAAAACAATTTTTAATCGCTATCTAGGGGACAAAAAAAATTTTAAAGGGAAAAAAGAGAGGAAGCAAGTGGTGATAACATCATAGGTGTTCTTCAGCTTCTTGCCAGTGATTCCATGAACTCGATAGAACATGGTCAGTGAAATTGATTATTGAAGAAACACGCCAGTAAGTTTTATCACAAAGACACAACTATTCAGAAGTCCTTAATTGAAAATTATATATGGACCCGCTGGCCTCATCAAATTAGTGCTATTTTTATGGATGCATTTTCAAGTTTTAACCAATAGATGATTTAAAGTTACAACCAAGAATCATACATGTTCATAGTAATTGAAGATTAACAGAATTAAAAAGCTCTGTTTACACAGCGGATGCAAACGAAACCGCAGAATTTATATGACAAAACATGTATTGCACTCAGTCAAACAACTTTGTTCATTAGGAGTTACAAAAACTAAGACAGAACATCAAGGAAAGAAAATCTTCTCTACAAGCATGTAGATCTTTCTCAGGGCTCAAAATTTTGATAAATTTCCGTTGAAACTTCTGAAACAGTCCATTCTAAAAGATATAGCCCCTTTTTGGTACAAATTCTTGAAAACTAATTTTTTCTCAAACTTATTTTGAATTATACACTTTCCCAATAAAATAATTTTGCATGTGGACCCATAACTTTATCCTAATATGTAACCGCACCTTTTCCAAAATAAAAAAAATAACTTTTCACAAAATATATTCTTAAAATATCTACATCAAACAGGCCCATAGAAATGAAGCAATAAAATCAATTTCCATATCCAGAGTAACTATTTTAAGAGGAAATTTATATTACAGACACATGATATTACAAATTTTCTAGTGCATTTTCGCATTTCTTAAACCTTTTGCCATCCTCCAACTCATCATGCAATGGAAACATAACCATGAACCTTGATTTTCGACACATTACAGTTCTGCTGATGTCATCATCGCATTTGTTATTATTATGCTGTTCAATTGGAAAGGGAGGATCCAAACCCTTATACATGCAAAGGAGAAGCCAAAACGATGCATCTACTTAACACTAACCAAAAGAAAAACATTTATTCATGGGTACAAGATGGAAGCGAGTAATTGGCCAGAGAAAGTAAACTCCTCTTTCCATTCACCATTAATGATGACAATGCAGCAACTTCTATTACGACAGTATCTAACCAGCCTTGCAATTCAAATCTTTATATCCATGAGCATTTATATAAAATACATGCGATAGCATGGAAAAACTTTAGGAATACAATCATCACGTTAAATAAATGGGCCTCCCATATCTGGAGGTCTCTTATTTTTTAAGGCAATATTGTAAACTTTCCTTGGTCCTCTGGCAGAAACCAAAACTTGAAACAGTCAAGTTCTGCTAGGATGGTGCACTAAGGGAAGCACTGGAGAGACTGCTAAAGGTGGTGTGTTATGACTTATGAGATTGGTAAGATTAAGTCCTATTTGCATTTTAGGACTTTTATGGAAAGCTATCTACTGTTTAGACAAGAGTTAAAAAGCTCTCATCCTTTTTTTTAATAACCGTGGATATTCGGGTCAGTTTGCGCGCACCTCGACTAATTCCACGGACCTGAAATTTACGGCCGGGTACTCACCTGAATGGCCCGAGGGGACTCGAACTGGTGACCATTGGGGAGCAAACCCAAAGCCTGACCAATTGAGCAACCCCTCAAGGTTATATATAAAAAATAAAATAAAAAAAATAGCTCTCATCTTTACTAGAGGTATCCACAAAATTTGGGCTGAAATTGACTCAGTGACTTCACTTATGCCCTCAATTGCATCATAGGCGCTGCTAGTGGACTAGATTTGCTCAGTACATCACCGATGAAATTTGTATGCTACGAAAGAGGACTCTTGATCATTTGTCTTGTGTGTATAAGAGAACTGTGTGGAATTGCGAAGTAGCTTGCGAATGAGAGGGTCGAACTAATGATAGTAAAATTTTGAAGGGTACAGATATTCAGGATAGTATCTTAAAAGCCATTAGAGTGGAAACACTCGATATCCCTCATATTTAAGTATGAGTTCTTCATGATTACAGATTTACTAGACATTGTTTATCGAGCTCGTCCACAGATTATATGATGCTATACCATGGTTTCAATTTTTTGCTTTTGCAAATTTTCTAAGTTTCTCTCTCTACCTCCCCATGCACTTCCAGGCAAGGCAAGGGTTTAGGCCCCCTCCTAAGCATATCCTTGTTTATCTTTAATATTTGGGGTGGGGTGGGGTGGGGTGTTTATGGCACAGGTGGTTTTGTAAAAAAGAAAAAGAAAAACATAAGCGCTCTATCTAAACTCTTACTCGATGGAAAACAAATATTACTACTGGAATTATCAAATACCTATGCTTATTTTAATTGAATGATACAAAGATTCTTCCTCAAATATAATTGAATTTCAAACACAAGACTATAAGCTCACTGTCTATGATCAGTGATCACACTACACTATTCCACATTTAAAATATTAAACTATATACAAAATCACAGAAGATATCCTAGAGTCTAACTTAAAAAGTAAAAACCCTAAAGAAAATCAGATTGAATGCAATCAAAATACCTTATGAAATGTTATATTCCCCAAGTGATCAGATGTGGCGGCCTCAAAGACCTCCACCAATTCCCCCACTCTATTGAAGTAAATCCCTTCACAAATCCTCTGCAAATTCTCAAAGACAGGCTCAAATGCCAACACTTTGAAACCCATGACAGCAGCAGCAAAGCTAGCCATTCCCACATTAGCCCCAACATCCACGAAAATCCCCGTTCTGCCCTCCTCTCCTTTCATCTTCTCCAACACCTCCTGCACCGTGGCTGAAATATCAGGCCTCCTGAAGGGCTTCCCTTTTAGCGTCCTCACAATGTTCTTGTGAGGCTTTTCCGTCAAATTTCCAAAATCTGCGAGCGAATACAAAAAAGGGTACTTGAGTCCTTCAACAATGTTGGCAAAAACAGGGTGTGCTTGAGGACTGTTATAGCAATCAAACGGCTTTATGGGTCGTTCAAAAACTGAATTTCCATTAAAATTGGGATTTTTCTTCATATTTTTGACGGGTATTATGGGATTTTGAGGGGTCTGAGAAGAGAGGTAAAAAAACGCAAGGAGGAGGAGAGAAGTGGAGACAAAGAGGAGGAGATTTTTAGGGGTCAAGATTTTTATGGGTTGATTTCTTCTCCAGGCATTTGCCATGGAAAAGATTGGAAGGAATAGAGAAGGGAGAATTCTGATGTAAGATGGGATCTCGAAGAACAGTGCACTCTCTTGTGAAATGTGGAGGAAATACACGAACGAAATTCGTCGGTTGACACGAGTATAATTTGGTAATGGCATTTGATCGTTATGTAAAAAAAAAAAAAAAAGTTAAAAAGGACGAAAGGGTATCAAAATTTAAAAATACCCACATTTTCATAAATGTTTGAGTGAAAAGAAAAGAAAATTCAAATTATTCACACAGTTTACGGTCGGAATTCGGTTGAGAAAGCTATCCTCACAGTGAACCCAATTGTGACCACCACACAACCCGATCATTATTTTCAACAAGGTTTGTTTTTTAGAATTATGAGATTGATTTTTCATTGATTATGTTTCAAAAGTTTGTGTATTAAATTATTATGTATAATGTTTATTTTTCATTATGAAGTCCATGTTTGTTACACATTTTTTAGCCAAGAATGCATTTTTTATGTGATGAGGAATATGTGGTTGAAAAAGAAGGAAAAAATATTGATGTGATGAAAAATATTATTTTATTAAAAAATGTGTAGTTAAACATGAGTAGAAGAATGAGAATGAAAAAAATAATATGGTTCAAACGTAGGCTTATGTAGATTATTGGGTATAGTAGTGATTTATGTGTTTATTTTGAAATTTGAAAGCTTTTATTTTGAAATTTGAAAGCTTATTGTCGCCATTTTCGATGAGAAAACAGTCAATTTTGGGCCGACTGTTAAGCTGACTCTTTTTTATTTTAGCCTCACTTGTTTTTTCTTCATTTTCTTTTAATTTAAAATAATTTTTAATCTTTTCTTTTTATGATATTTATTTTTTTTCAATTTTAATTAATTAATATTTATATTCTTTATTTAATTTTCATAATTTCCTTTTGTTTAATTTTTTTATTTTAAATTTTTTGAAAATAGTTTTATATTCCTTAATTATTTTGTTCATTTTATAAATAATATTTTTTTGATTTAAAATTAATTTTTATTCTTTTCTATTTATGATAAAATTTAATTTTTAAAATTTTAATTAATTAATATTTATATTCTTTATTTAGTATTCATAATTTCTTTTTTTTTATTTTTTTATTATAATTTTTTTTGGAAATATTTTTAAAATTTCTTAATTCTTTTTTTCATATTATAAATAATTTGTTTTCATTTGTTGGATGTAGTAAATCTAGATATGAAGTTGAAACGGATGGCGGGAAAATGTACTTGGAACATTAGATTTGATATTTTCACTACTGTATTAGAGGTGCGATGATCAACACGCAGATATCCTACCCAATCCTTCATATGGCCACTGTATCAATTGAGAGAGGTACGTACTCTTGGCAGATTATTGATGCATTACTATGTCGGCTGTTTAGGCCAGTCGACAGCAATGCCCTTCACTTCAACATCGGGGCCAACGTCGTTACTTTCTCCAAATTTGAGTTTGTTATCATAAGTAGACTGAAGATAATGGGCAACGAGACAGCCACCTCAATTGATTAGCGCAACAGGGAGTACGACCAGAAGTTGGACAAATTGAAGCTAAGACTAGTCTACATCCTTGAGAGTGTGGTAAAGTGTCATCACAAAAAACTGCGATCAACATTTTCCATTTGAAAGTTGTTGATGACATTCATGCCTATGGATGCCTTCAACAACTATCTGGGGGGCCGGAGATGCTTTGAGGATACTATACACATTTTCACCAGATCACACTCGAAGCCTAAAGGGTCCATGCATAAGTACGATACTTATGGATTGCCTTGACATAGAGGTAAATGTTTAACATAATTAACGTTAAAATATTTTTTATACGAAATCTATATATAATAATTGTATGTGTTGCAGATCTGGACATATGAGACGTCCCCCTCTGGGTACCCGATTTGCAAGACAAAGGAAGACAAATTGTTCTCGGATGCATCATTGACGAGCATACCAAGCAGACTAATGTCCAGCAGAAAACAGTTATCAACCTCCTCAACGACCCTCACGTGAGTATTACATATTTGTGATTTATATTGTATATCATTTCAAAATTTCATCACATGATCATTAACTAGTTGAACTTTCAATATGTTAACTTGAAGTCCTAACTGAGTTGACACTGTCAGTGGACGAGGATGGTCAAGATTTTGTGCTTGAATTAGGTTTCGCAATACTCAACACAACTAGATGTTCGATTTCATTCTAGACCGATATTGAATATAATTTATTGATTACAGTTTTGTATGCGTTAGCGTATTTTAACTAAGACCCCGTTTGATCCACATTCTTCTAAAAATTCATTATCTCAAAATACATTTTTAACCATATATTCTTCAATAAAATAATATTCTACGCAAATCCAACACTTTTATTTATTTTTTAACCACATATTTTTCATCACATCACATCATAAAATGCATTCTTTTGTAAAAAATGGTGCATCAAACACCCCCTAAATTAATAATTTTTAATGTTATTATTTGTGTAGGAGCGTGGTCAAGTTGATCGACGATCAACTCCACCAATAGGATCACCTCTACCGAAGGGATAACCTCTGTCGATGACATCTCCTTCTCTTCCATCCAGATACCTCCCCTGTGGATCTTCTGCACACGATCAGAGTCATTATTTCGATGATCTATATGTCCGTCTGTTGGATTTATGGTGGAGGAGGTAGGCGCGTTATAATGAGAGATGAGGTGTGCGTGCTATGAAAGGGGGGTAGGGGCACTGCAATGAAGGTTGAAAGGTAAGGTATCAGATTTATGGCATGATGTTGCAGTACTATGAGGCTATATAGGAAACCTTCACGATGAGGTCGCAGCGCTCCGAGACGATCTAGCAAGCAAACAAGGGGGTGATAGACGGAGGCCACAGAGAGGGTGATGGAGAGAGTGAGAGAGATCGGGGTCACACGCCGTTGTGGATAGATAATGGTTTATTAGAAACATTTTTGTTATCTGTGGAGCGTGAGAGGATGGCCTCGATGGGGATGAGAGGGGTGGCAGAGGACGGAGGGAGTGGTGGTGCTAGGGGTGGTGATCCCCGAGACGGATGATCCCCGGGGCGGAGGAGATGGTGAATGAGGAGAGGATGCCAAACGTAACAGAGGGTAAGAAGCGTGTTGTTATGTGCCGTTGCAGGTGGTTTGTAAGAGGCCAAGATTGTCTTCATATTACATCGTTTCTCCCTTTACGACTGAGGCAAAAATGAGGATGTTCATCGACAGGATGTACCCCAACCTCTTTTGGGATGTGGACCATGCCAAGTGGAAATCATTCACAAGATAGAGTGGAGAAAAATTATGCTCGGGTAAGTATTTTATGATTTTTATGAAATATGCTACGCTAACTCATCTACGCTTCTTTTCACAGTTTTTTTTTTTTTTTTTTTCAGAACTAGCAACATGATAGCTTAAAGGACGATCTCAAAGGCCTATAAGTGGTTTCATGACATCACGACTTTGGGAGCCTTGTTCGTCGATGATATAAGTATAATATCGCAATTGTTATTTATTATGTATACACAATTTTTTATTTATTAAATGAAATAATTCCCTCTATATTCTTGTTAGTGTTTCTTGTTGTAGCACATCGACTTGGCTTGCGCAATTGAGCTCAAAGATATTCGAGATCATTCGACATTCCTTGCCAAGTCATATTAAGCATCGACTTCCTAGGTATCGTTACCATTGAGTATCAATCGCTCCAACTTATGGGTAATGAGTACACTGTGCTTAAATATATGCTCGAGTGGGTCATAGGGATGTGGTCAAGTGTCGGAGGAAAGTCAAGGAAGGGATGTACGCATATGTACATTCCAGTGATCGTGAATCATCACTCCTTTGTCATGGAGATCGTCCTTGCTAATTCCGTATGTGTACAACTCCGATCATTCCTATCCGACACAAATCAGCTCGAGCTTCACTTGGAGCAGGTGACTATGATCTTTCCTTTGATGGCTAAACGAGCGAGGGTGATTGTACATGACAGACTAGTCATCGTATGAGATACGACGACGGCGAGACATCCAAATCGTAAGTACTTATAATTTTTTTAATTTGAAAACTTATTTTTTAGTTACACGGTACCGATCTAACACATTATTATTTATTTGCAGGAGCGATTGTGGCGTGTTCGCAATAAAGTATTGTTGATATATGGTTGATTTCGAGTTTTGATTATAACAAACAAATTATTCTTATCTCTAAAATTTTTATTTTGAGTCTTCAATGAGACATGTTACGAACTGGGTGGAAATCGAGCATTCATGATTGAACTGGGAAATCGAGCACCTGCATAAGGAAAAATAAAAAACAATTCAAGTGTTCGCACCAAAATCAAAATAGAGCAACAAAACGTGCACTCGCGCCAAATTTATCGAAGATATTAGACTTAGATGATTCAAATTCAATGTAAAGGTAAAACACCTTAATTCACAACAATGAATCACTACAAGCTCGAAAATTAATCTTTTATGCACGAAATAAATTTTGCACAAAAATGCTCGCATAAAAATTACTTTTGACAAAAACCTTCACTTGATTTTTTAACTCTTTTTCAATGAAGCTAAGTAAAAATGCTCCTAATGCATTTACATTTGCAAAATAATCAAGGAAAGGAGAAAATCAATGATTTTCGATTTTGGCGGACATCCGGTAGGCTTGGCGAACGTCCGGTAGTTCAACGGTCAAAATTTTGACCATTCTAATTTATGACTCCCAACGGCTACTTCAGTCGTCTGGTACAATGGCGGAAATCCGGTAGGGGTCGTCCGGTTGGATAGAGATTTTCACTTTTTGACTTCTATAAATACCAACTCACTTACCATTTATCATGA